TTTTTTCCAAACTCTAAGATTATATTCAGAGATTTGTGAAATTAAAAGATTCAGAAGTTGTTAAAAGTGGCAACCCTGGAGAATCTCAACCTAACACTTTCCATCTTCTTTCCCACCTTTTAAGAAAATTCCCTTTAAAAGTAAATACTTCCCTAAAAAGCAACTCTCCATTCAGATTTCCAATTTTTCTTAAAACGTATCAAGTATGAGTCCACAACTATTATCTCTCACATGCAGTACAAGGTCTCTATCCTCCTGCTTACATTCTAATCATTTTCAAATAAGTCGATTCACTCATTTATTCAACACTTAGAACCACTTCTGTGTCACACACTGTGCTGGCCTACCCCACTTGTCTATATGTCTCAAAACACTTTAAGCTCCAAGAGGGCAAGGACGATGTCTGTAAGCCCCACTGTGCCCTATCTGTCCCCCACTCCTCCCACCCGGCGTGGCATAAAATACTCCCAAAAAGTTTGTTGAACTCACCCACCCTCAAAAGGTGGCAAGAACACATCAGGTGCCTCTGCTGATTATAAGAAGCCAAATACTCTAACAAGTCATCCTCAGGGTATTAAAATGAAAGAGACAAAAGTGTCTCGCAAATACTGTGACGCATATTTCCAGCCCCGCATGGAGGAAACCTAAGCGTCCGGTAAAGGTCAACTGGGTTGCCGGGAAACCTGCTCTTATGCCAGGGCCCTGGAGGCCCAATGAGACCCGAAACCACAGAGTCTGAGATTTGATCATTGCTAATAAGACAGAGGAGATCTGAAAGGAAGATTAACCCTGACCGTCAACAGAGCCAAGTCCAGAGACGGGAGCGCAAGTGAGGTCAGGGTCCAAGTATCTACTCTTCTCCCTCTGCTGATCTCCCGGTCCCCTACCCCTATTCTACCACGCTCGCGGCCTTGTCAGCAACGTCCGTCCTCACCCACGTGCCTAAGGCCGAGAAGCTTTGGCCGCAGGGGGTCAACTGGAAGCCGAGACTCGACCTCCGAGCCCCGAGAAAGAGGTAGATGTCAGGCCAGAGCCGGAGCGGACACTGGCGATCACCTCTCCGATAACTCAGAGGTCAAGGCCAGGAGCCGTCGCCACGGCAACGGGCGGCCCCCGCAGCCGCTACGGGAAAGGAAACTGTCTGCTGAAGCCGCGTGCTCACCTGAGCCGCTGCCCGCACTCTTCCGTCCGGCCCCCGCCCTTGGCTCCCTGGCCAGCAACACCCACGTAGCCGCTCCCAGCGGCCCGCGGGGCCCCGCTTGGGACCCCGCCCACCGGCCGCCTCCTCTCTCGAAGCGCAGGGATTGGTTGAGATCCAGTCAAAGGACCGGAATTAGCTAGGCGTCTGCAATGGAGCCCCGCTGCGCTGAGACGCACACAGCGCCCCCTGGCGGTCAGGCTGTTCCCCAGTGACGTCACCACGTGATTTTTCTCTTTTTTTCGGCCTGGAGAAAGTGAAAGGTCATCCATTCATTTATTCAACTGATGTTTATCTAAGACCTAGGTCTGAGAACACACACACACAAAAGACATGATCCATGACCTCAAGAAGCTCTCTTTAGCAGAATATTGTCTAGTGCTTAAGAACTCTTCAGACCTGAGCTATCTTTGTAGCTGTGACTTTAGGAACAATATTAATCCGTCTGAGCCTCCTTTCCCTCTTATGTGTAAAGGCAATAACACCTATTGCACAGGATGTTGTGAGGGTTAGTTGAGATAATGTACGTTAAGTGCTATACCAGGCACATAGCAAGCAGGGGAATAAATGCTATTATTGTTAGTCTACAAATAATAGAAATATAGAAAAGCCTAAGTTTTACTTGGCCCCACAGGTATAAGTATTCACTCCTCTGTGTCCCCACTGCTCCCTGTACAGACGCCTATTTTATCACGTACAGAAAAAAAACATCAAAGCTCAAGCTCCATAACAATCCTGCCTAGTTGCCTTTTCACCCTCATTCCGCTAATCTCAGCCAGGCATATTTATTTATCTTTAGTAACACATGCTAAACCTCTTCTATTCCTCCATGCAGACCAAATTGTTTTACACCTCTGTGCCTTAATTTGTGCTTTTTCTTCTACCTGCTGGCCCTTCCCATCTTTCTTTACCAATGTATCTCTGACTCATTTTTCAAGCTTTAGGGACACCCCTGTAGAAGCTGCCTGGACTACACTATTAGGTTAGATACCCTTCCTCTATGATCTCAAAGAGCTCAGTGCTAAGTTCTGGCAGTGGAAATTGAGAGAAAAGAACAGTATAAAGAAATATGTAGGAAACCACTATTAGCAGAACTTGTTCACTAACTGAATAGGTAGAGAGGAAAAGGAAACAAATTACCTAGAATAACCAGCATTCAGTGAGCCAATTAACATGTGCTAGGCATCAGGGATGCAAAAAAATTACCGGGACCATCCTTGCTCTGAGCAGTTCTCTGACCGATGGGGAAGCAGATTGGTCTATAAAATGTCAATATATTGAGTGTGAGAAATGTGGTGACAGATATATACACAAGCTGCACAGAGGAGGAGCCCCAGGAAGAATCAGGAAAGGTCACCTGGAGGAACCTGCCCCTGAGCTGAGTCTCAAGTGATGGCTAGCAGTTTCATAAGGCAGAACTGAGTGGGGCTCAAGACTTAGGAATCAGATAGCTGTGGGTTCCAATCCTGGCTATGCTGCCTGTTAATCTCAGAAGAGCTATTTATGATTTTAAAAGGACAATAATAGTACCCACCCCTTAGGGTTGTTCTGACCCAATGAATATAAAGTGCTTGGCACAGTACTCAACATTTCCTAAGTGCTCGGTAAATGGTCACTAGTATGTTCATTATACTCCAAATTTATTTCTCCTTCGTGATAGCTTATGTCCATTTGTGGCATTACTTATTCACTAAGCCAAAAACATAAATGACATCTTCAAGACCTCTATATCATTGCATTATTCCCAAGATTCAGCTCACATATAGCATCCATGCCTCCTGAATGTCTCTCAAAATCATCATCATCATCATCTCTTACCTGGATTACCTTAGCAACTCCCTCAATAGTCTCCTTGCCTTCCATTGCCTCTTCCAGTACATTCCCATTCTATTGGCCAAAGGATCTTTCAAAAACTTAAATAAAATTTAAATGAAATTTCCAGCTTAACTCCCCAACTACCATGGGTCCCTGTCAGCCACATCCCCTCCCGTCCTCTTTAGTCTCTGCTCTCCCCATCATTCCCCACACATACTCTTCCATGCCTTTGCTCAAGCTGGTCCTTTTGCCTGAAATGAATGTCCTCCCTTCTCTTTCTTGATTGCAAAACTCTAATGCATCCTGCAAAACCTAGTTCAAAAGGCCTCTCTTACAAAAAGCTTTCCCAGACTCCCTGGCTGCTAGAGGCTCCCTCTGCTAGTCTCGTCAGCCCCTCTGGGAGAGCAGGCCTCCCTTTGTACTGTATCTTTCTGTTTATGTGCCTGGCTATGGCCAGACTGGGAGCAAATCAAGCACAGGGACTGGATCTAATCCTTCACTTATTCGGTACAACTACCCAGGCCGCAATACCCAAAGGAGACTACATCCCATCAGTCCCTTGTGGGGCAATTTTAGACATGTTTGTAGTAAGATGCCCACACGGTTGCAGATGCTGACCAGTTGTTCCATGTCCACTCTCACATACCTCACAGTCCCGGGAAAGCTGGCCCAGTTTCTGAGAAAAGACTTAGAACCATAAACAACTGTATAATGTAAAGGGCTAAACTCAGACTCAGCCACTTCCCAGCTTCATGATTTGCAGTAAGTTGTTTAGCCTCTCCAAGCCTCCGCTTCCTCATCTGTAAAATGGTGGTGATAACAATACCTGCTTCATAGGATTGCTCTGAGTATTGTCAAGTTCAGTTCTCATGTCCCAATATTAGAGATGAGAAACTGAATCTCAAAGAGGTAAAGTGACCCAGTCAAAGCTCCCATCTCCCCTCCCCAACAGCTTGGCAAGTCTATAGGAAACAGACAGATGATCATTTTTGGACAGTCATCCAATCTAAATGGTCCCAAACCTACCTGCCCATCAGAATCACCTGGAACACTTGTTAGAAACTCATTTGAGAGCAGAGTCTGTTCAATAAGTCTTGGACAGGGCCCAGGAATCTGTTTGAGGTCAGCCCAAAGCTGATTCACTTTTGGAAATTTGGATCACATGAGGGCCCACTCCACCTTCCAGTGGTCTCATATGAGTATGTGTATGATCTCTTGCTTTTCAGTTGGTCTCCCAAACCAGCTTTCAAAATATCTGTTCATGCCACTCCTCTGTCAAAACCCTTCCACGGCTCCCACAGCCCTCGGTCCCAGGCCTACCCTCCTTAAATTGCCCAGCATGAACAAACCTCTGCACTCCCAATGCCTATTTCTCCTCTAAGCCCTTGTACAGCTATTGTCTGATCTTGGAACATTCTTCACAGCCTCAGCCTTCCAGCAGCTAATATCTCGTCATCTTTCCAGCACTCACCCTTATATTTTAACTGCTGTTTACCTGTTTTTCCCATAAGATGGTACACTCCATAAGGGTAGAAACTACACTTGTTCAGGCCATCTCCCTGGTATTGGATGCCAACAGTGATTCTTAATCAATGTTTGTTGAATAAATGAATGAGAATTGGCTAGTCCAGTGTGGCTCACAAGAGCAGCCAACCAGCTGGCTTTTCCTCCTGCCTCAAGGTGAAATATCAACCCCACGGACTGTTTAAGGACTGGAAAGGTGGTTTTCTGGGTGGGCACTGCCATCAAACCCTTTCTGGACTCAAAAGGCAATAGAGGTAAAAAAAGCTCATGGTTTGGTATTAGACCTGGGTCCACCACTCAGCCCAGTAACTTCGGACAGATCACTTAACCTCTCCTGAGCTTCCGCTTTCTCATCTGTCCTGAGGATGAGCCACATGCATGTAATGCACTCGCCCCTTCCCTGACCCACAGTAAGCATCCAATAAATATTAGCCGTCACCCCTCGGTTTGGGTTGCCATTTAGAATCCCGGGAAAGTTCTGTTCTCTGCCCCCAACAAACTGCCCATCCTAGGAGGCATCAGAAAATATAGAAGCACTAAATTGAACATTTTTCTGCCGATCAGAAATGAATGGAGCAGAGAGAACATTGGGCCCTCAGAGAAAGGGAAACCAGTATTTGTCCATATCTAAGAGTAACCACACTCTCTGTTTATTGAGCACATGCTGTGTGCCAAGTTTGGGCTCTGGGCTCTCCTCTCTGGAGGAAGCCTGGAGGACTGGGAGGCAGAAAGAGAAACCAGTGGAAAGGTGGAAGGCCTCCCCTCTCCACCTCATCGGACCCTGCCACGCGGACTCAGATCCATCCAAGGCCCCCAGGCAATCCCCACTCCCCCCACACCAAGAGCCTGGGCTCCTGGCCTCTTCTCCCTCCACCCCGTGTCCCTCATGCACAGGGCAGAGGTGGCTTCTTCTGGAGAGAGTAGCTGGCTCGAGTGCAGTTCTGCCGTTTTATTTTTCCTGGGATACTCAAGGGGATGTGGGAACAGCCACAGGTGTGGTGAGGGGAAGCCCCCATCTCCCCTCCCCAGAAGCTGGGAAAGGGGAGAGGCCCAGGCGCCCTGGTCCTGGGTTGGTCCAGCCACCGTGGTCCCTGGGCCCGGTGGGCTGAGGGCTGAGGGTGGGGCGGGCTCCTAGGCGGGGTTCGGGATTCTTCATAAAAAGCCACGAAGCTGATCCCCACGAAGCCCAGCCCCGCGGGGTGGGAGGGACGCAGAGCCCAGATGGGGGACCCGGCCCGGCCTGGCCCGTGGGGGAACGTAATGGCTGAGATGGTGCCCATGGGGAGGAGGTGGGGACGAAGCGTCGGACCAGGAGGGAGAAGGGGTCCAGGTGGGAGCGCAGGGCGGAGAGGCACGGCCCCCAGCCCAGCCCGGGCGCCTTCGCGTGGGGTCAGGAAGGTAAAAAACCCGAGAGTGTGACGGGCAGGAGGAGCCGGGGCGTGCGGTGCCGGCGGGGCGGGCGCACAGGGCGGCCCGCGTTCACAGTGACCTCGACGCTGGATGTACAGTACGGGTAGAAAACCGCGGGCCCGGGCCCGAGCTGAGCGGGCCGGGTGGGTCACAGCCTGGTCTGGGCCTCGGGAATGTAGATCTCGATGCTGTCGGCGCTCTCGGTAG